CGAGTTATCATACATTTTATACGGGATAACGAACTTAGCGGCCACGTCCAGAATAATGCAGACCTCTCCGGCAGACCCGGTGACGAAAAAACGGTCTTCCGGGGCCTCTGCGATGTCCATCACACATTTGTTACCTGGGGGAAGTAAGAAAAAAACACCGTCCGCTATAATAAATAGTATACAGGTGTTACGGGAATGGGAATTCGCCAGGAACCGGTGTCCGCTTCCCATTACTTTGTACAGATGACATTCGCCCCATTTACTAACCCAATACTCTGACTAACACCAACCTCTACTATAATAATAATCATATGGGACCCCGAACTTCCATTCTTGGCACACTTGTATAGACCCTCCTATACTTACATTCCCCACTGTCAGAAATATGGGTCGTCTCATCCTCCTTGAACGCGATGAACTGCACATCTGAGATTGTCATTGTCACCAGTGTGTCGTGGTAATGTTCAGCGTCCGTCCCGTGAGCCTCCAGGTTTTGAAAAACGTGTTGCGTGTTGCAGACCAGACATCGGGAAAGTCGGGTGGAGAACCCGGCAGGCGCCATTAGATTGCCGTCGTCGTCTACGTTCCTGACCACCAGAGTCTGGTTGGCCACTGTGGAGGATAATGACAATAATAATAATACTAATTAATTATTATTATTATTATTATACACTGAACACCATTTTTGAAAGGAGAGAAAATAAAAATGAACATTCAAAACTCTAAATTATTTATAGGACATCACTGCTTTAGACAAATGGCATCTCTGGTACGACATTCTCCAAAGGGAGCTTAACTATTTTAGTAAAAAAACAATAATAATTCTGTTCGTTAATATGAGTGTAAAACTAACCGGCTGCTTCCACGTTGGGGAACAATTCTGGCATCATCGGGATATGGAGCAACACTTCCCCCAGTTGATACTTAGTGTACGTTTGCCCTCCGTCCTCCGAAACTTTGGTGAATTTGACGCTGAGACTGAAGGTTGCTTCTTGCTTCTTCCATTCCAGAGTTAGCATGTTGGTGTTGGGGGAACTGGCGTCCTCGCAGAAACCCCCGATTCTATCAAAGTTTTCGGGGAAATCAATGGTTGCGTTGAGTCTCTGAAACGTAAGGAAACTTGACGTTGTTATTATTTGATTATAATCTTTTTAAGGGCGGGGGGCAACCATTATTACGCAAAGGGATGCCCGTATTAAAATATGCATGGCTGAACGCACAACCACATGCACTAGTTCAAGCACGCGAAATAATGCACGTTTCCTCACAAGCGTCTGCACACCTACTCACAACCCATGCCAACACACGTAAACGTACGCAAGGGCCCAAACTCACGCGTGTAAAAACCCAAATGCATTAAGATGCACTAAGTTACTTGCATGAACATCTCTCTACTAAAAAAAAAAAAAAAAAAAAACACACACACACTTACCGCCCCGGTGTCGTCCAAGTAGGAAATCTTGATGTCCAGTTCCATTCGAGCTACGACACATACTGCTGTGGTGTTCACGTCGCTGACAGTCCACGCCGAACTTTGGGCGCTAGATGCTGCAACATAATATTGACTTTGGATACTTTTCTACTTGGATATCAAAATAATGTACACGAATTCAATTACTCTGTGTGTGTGTGTGTGTGTGTGTGTGTTTGTTTGCACGCTAGGTTTTATGTGTGTGTTGGTGGCATGTGTACACGTATGTGTGATTTGATTTAATGAAATACACCCAATTAATTTAATAAATGGTCCAAATATTAATACCAAAGGATTTGTACTTGATTTCCGCTTATTTAGAAAATAATAGGGTCATAGATATGAAGCTGCAATTTAGAAATGTCTATCGATATAATTACCGGATTAACCACCAAGAAAACAATACCACTGACATAAGTCCTGAACACAATAACCCTCTATGTACACACAAAAGCACGCTTCCAATCTACAGGTCAAGAAAATGGAAAAATGGAAAACAAATAATTTATTATTCAATCTCCTCCCCCCTTCCGTTTCCCCCATTATCATCATACAGAGCACGTGTCCAAAGTTACTGTCGTAAAAACGATGGATCTTTCACGAGACGGTACCAGTGATAATAGCACCAATATAGACTATCTCGCGGCCAAGAGCATGGACATCGGCTTGTCACCCTGGGCTAACCTACAACTTACAATCTATTGTCTCAGCTCACGAAAGTGTATAGCAGGGCATAGACTCAATCATTTATTACCATAAGTTTAAAAAAATCCCCCTTCCCTTAGTTACTCTCAGATATTTTATATTCCAAAACTTAGAACTGTTAGATCTGCAAAGACTTTTATCTCGCAAAAAATAATGTATAAACTTCATTACTTTCAACTATTAAGAAATTAGTTGATTTCATATTTTAGAAATTCAATACTTCTTTTATGTGATTGAGCAATTTTTAGAATAAAATTGATTTAATATTTTAATCAATTTGTTTATTATCTGGTTTTGGTGGGTAGTTTCATAATGTTTTTAAGTAACTTTTAACAGTCTTTTATAGCACTTGTGAAAGCCAACCTTTAGTTGCATGAATAAATAATGTTATTATTAAAACAAGCTTAGAGAAAGTGCTTTGGAAAAAAATTCGCCTGAGACTTGAGATCGAAGTTTTGATCTTCCTTAACAAAAGATTGTCCGTAGTAATGGACTAAAAGAAAGTAATCATTATTAATCGCGTTTTTTATTTATTTTTATTTATTTATTTATTTATATTTTGTTTTTCGTAAAATGGACATACTAGTTCATGTTACTGGCCTACTGCTGATTTTTACTTCAGCCAAGTTAGCTAGTTCAGTTGCGAGTTCTTTTGCGTAGACAAACCCTCACCCCAGGGGCTACAGGCCATAACTCACAGACTATAAATAAGACAGCAACGACAAGGAAAAACGATGAAAAACATTACCAATTTTTTTTTTAAATAACTGTACATCGGTTTTGCAATATGTTAAAAACAAAAGATCATATTTAGATAGTTTTTTAACCAAACTCTTAACTTCACAGTCTAATACAGTTACTTTTCTAAATAATTCATCATTTATGCATTTTATATGTAAAATTAGCTGTGTAGTGAGACTTTAAGCATTTTAGTCCTCAATAAAGAGTTGATTTACATTAATTTTACTATCAGTATCAATTAAATAACTTAGTCTATTCGTTAGAATTAAGCTATCCTGCCCCCCCCCCCCCTTCTCTGGCATTAGAAAAATAAAGGATGGCGGTGTTTTTCTTGATATTTTAGCAATAATTCAGCATAAATCAGTTCTGAAAATAATTCAGTTCTAAACCGGATTGTTCTTAGATAGATCTGTGCTGTAATCCAACATCCCAAAGAGTGGCACAGTGAGGGCCAACAAAGAAGGACAATATATTCCTCGTAAAGACTCCAAGTAATATTTGTCAGATATTTTATTTTAAGGGCGCAGTTGTAAAAAAATCGCCTTCCATTGCTACTCATGCTCAGCACAAATAACTGGCTTTAATAAGTGAGGGCGTGGTGACGAAGACTATTGACAAAATCACATATGTACAACTGCTGATTATGGGAATTAACAAATGAATCTAAATAAACAATACTTACGAGTAACCGCCAAAATCAGCGCAGCTATCAAGATCCCCTTCATCTCAAGTCGACTGGCGATGCTCTTCTCTTCCACGGGTGGTAACGCTCTTCCTTCGAACTGCTGAACGTGTTGTTCCACTCCCGCTCCTTCGCCCAGTAATCTACGACATGGGTTCACGTGCTGAAATATACACGACAAGTCACGTGCCGTCACGAGGGAGATCACTTATCACTGTGCTGCATGGGGGCCCCCAAGGCGTAATGACCGGCCGCTCTACCGAGTCTCACTCATGGTCATGAGGACGATCAAGTCATTATGTGGCACCCTGATTACGTGGTTAAACTTGGACGTGAACTTAGCAGAAGTGTTTTATCACATTTAGATTAAAATGTTGCACCGATTTTTTTTCCATGTGCATACGGAAAATTATCTGTTTTGGGTAATTAAAATTGTTTTTCTGTCATCACCATTTGCAAGCGAAGAGAGGAAATTTTGCCAGAATAATGAACAAATTGGGAAATGTCACCAGGCATGGAAGGGCTGAGATAGTTTGTCAATATTGTTGGGAGGGGGGGGGGGCTGTCCACTTGGTCAAGATTCTCAATTAATTTTGTTTTTTAATTAATTAATTAATTAATTTATTTATTTATTTATTTATTTATTTATTTATTTATTTATTTATTTATTTATGTGCCGTCCATTGGAGCCTGTGCTATATGTATGAGTATCTGATCTATTCTACGGATGGAAGCTACAAGAGGAATTTAATAAATGTTCAGCAAGCCCGTAGCTAAGGGGGGTCCGAGGTTCGAAAGAACCCTCCCCCTTTTATTTTTTTTTCTGGGAAAGGTCCACTCTGGGTAAATTTGGTCTGGGTAACAAAGGTTTCATGACAGAAGGTCCATATTTTAAGAAAAAGACCCCAGCTTTCGCATTTGCTGGCTACGGGTCTGTATAGCCACCTTCCATGGTGTGTGCACTAGACCAAATGTAAATTGTGTACAACGAATCAGTAACCGTTTGTATGGGGATGGGGTGGAATTGGGGAGGGGGGAGTAATTTTAGCGAGATTTATTTTGAGACTTTTCATATTTTTGTTAAACAATTAAATTTGTATTTTCTTTAAAAAGAAGTTGATATCCTGATATTACCCAAGGCAAGACACCAGAAACAGTACTGAGAAGAAAGATAATAAGCTGTTTATAACTTTTATATTGAACTCTTAATTTGCCATTCTTAGCTCTAATTTTTGTCATTCTAACATTAAATAATACCAAAGTTTCATTCTTAATGATGAGGCACATTGAGATTTTAAACGCAATACACCACATAAAAATAAAACATTATTATTATCGTAATTGAATAAGTAAATAAATAAATAGCTTTGATTTATTTCATTATTTCATCAAGATAGATAGATAGCATTCGCAACTGGCAATCCAACAAACGTTACGCTTTTGTTGTATTAACGTTACGTTTTCATGTGACGTCATAAGCGACAACTACGTCACGGCACCGCTTGCCGTAACGTTAGTTACAATATCCAAGCCAATGGCGATGTTCGTAATTTATCAAACTGCGAGTTTTTATCAAGTTATTTTGATTTAATGGAAGAATCCGAAGAAAACGAAGGTAGATTAAGTCGCGCCCGTAAACGTGTTCGTAATGTAGCGTCTCGAGCAGCAAGCGCATTTCGCATACGCCGACGGAGCAGAAGGATTGCTCCATCCCCCGAATCTGCTCGAGCTGAAAAGCCGGAATCTGAGGTACCAAAGGCGCCCATCCAGGTACGTCACAAACAAATGCCTCCACCCTTTTATTTAGATGGGTTATGTTGGAAAACACCCGAGAAGCTTAAATTAACCATTGTTTTACTTATTTCTTTATTCAAGTAACCCTCGCAACTAAAAAGAATTAATGAACTGAACTATGAAAGTATATTGAATGCAAACAAAGCTACTGTATTTTGATAATTTTTCAAACTGTCAATTTCTTTAGTAAACATCATATCCTTGTAACAAATATTAAGACATATAAATTGCTTTCCACCTTAAATTTAATTTCTTTTTATTTTGACAAATACCTCGGATAAGGTGGGTGAAGGAAGACCTATTCGGAAGAGCACTCCAAATTTTGTGGGGTAGGTTCCATTGTTATTATACAATTTGTTTTTCTTTTACTTAGGTACTCTTATCAAATACTAATCTGTCTGCCCATATGTATAGCTATTATTCTATCTGAAGCAATAAGCTAAGGAAGCAATTAACGAAAAATGCAAGTAATGAAAATAATCTCACAATCTGATAATTTCAGGT